TATCGTGATCGATATGAAGGTGGCGCATTCTGAATGCAATTTCATTTTCCTTGCGGAATAATGGTCTGACCAATTATTCCGTTAGGTAATTTTAACGTTTGTTGTAAAAAGGATGTTTTGGATGCATTTTAACAACATAAAAATTGATAATTGTTGATTTTAAAATTAGACGACACCTACCTATGATCTCAAAATTTAGCAAAAGACACCTCCCTATAGCTGTCAAATTTACTTTTGGGAATATTCCTCAAAAATTACTTTTCCGTTTTCTTTTCAGCTGCTTATAGCCAGGTACGCAGCTGAAAAGAAAACGGAAAAGTAATTTTTGAGGATTATTCCCAAAAGAAAATTTGACAGCTACAGGCTGCTAAATTTTGAGATTATAGGGAGATGTCGTCAAATTGTAAAATCAACACTTATTAGTGTTTATGTTGTTTAAATGCATCCAAAATATCAGTTTTGTAATAAACGCCAACATTACCTAACGGAATAATTGATCAGACCATTATTCCGCAAGGAAAGTGAAATTGCATTCAGAATGCGCCACCTTCATGTCGATCACGATACTAATGTAATCGATCTTTCCTTTACCGATTTCTTTTGAACTGCGTACTGGGTCAAGAAATGCTGAGGAAAAGTAATTTCTTTTGCATTCCGTGTCCTATCCCGTAGCACGTAAAAACGTCATTACTTTTCAGCTGCGTACCAGGCTTATCCAGGTGGCTGCTTCATGAAAATCTCCTCGTTCAAATCGCCGTACAAGTAGGCCGTTTTCACATCCAAATGCTTCAACGTCATTCCCTTCTTGCTAGCAACGGCTAACAGCATCCGCAGTGTGGTGTGGCTGGATACCGGTGCGAAAATCTCGTCGTTATCAACTCCGTACTTTTGGGAATATCCCTGAGCTACCAGACGAGCCTTGTGTTTGATGGTGTCACCAGCTGCGTTCCTCTTCAGCTTGTACACCCAGCGACAGCCAACAGCCTTTCGTCCAGCAGGTAAGTTAGCAAGCTCCCACGTCCCATTCTGTGCGTGAGATTTCAGCTCGTCAACCATTGCCGCTTTCCAACTTTCTTTCTGTTCACAGGTCACCGCTTCCTTCAAGAATCTTGGTTCGACCACCTCCGTGTCCACAGACTCCGCAGCAAAAATCTCCTCAATCAGTCTCTGAGGCGCGATACTCTTCGTTGACCTTCTCGAACGCCGTGCTAGTTCATCTAAAGGAAAGCCATGAAACGATTGGTTTCCTTCCGAAGCACTATCGTAGAACGATCCATTCAGATCCCGACCGTCTTCTACCGATTCCATGAATTCTTCTACCGACTCCGAATTTTCTTCCGATGATGTTGAGGTCCCATCCGTCTCATCCCGAGACTCATCTCCTGATGGCAACACTAGCGGTACTTCCAGTACTCCTCCTGTTTCTAGACCCTGGATCCGAACAGCCTCTTTCGTATCGCATAACTCCAAGAACTTTGCATCCCTGCTAATCATAATCATATCCGTTTCAGGGTTCAAGAAACGATACGCCTTACGACCGTCAGCATACCCTACGAACACCAGCTTCTCAGCCTTGAAATCCAGCTTGCGCCGCTTTTCCTTGGGGATATGCACGTACGCTTTCGATCCGAAGATCCTTAGATGACCGTAGGAAGGTTTCTTCTTGTTCCAGAGCTCAAACGGTGTCTTACAGACTGTAGATGACGGCAAACGATTCTGCAAATAGTTTGCAGTGCAAATCGCTTCGCCTTAGTACCTCTTGTTCAACCGTGACTCGGAAAGCATACACCGCAGCATCTCAACGAGATAGCGGTTCTTCCGCTCGGCGACACCATTTTGCTGTGGTGAATACGGTGCCGTCTGCTCATGAACTATTCCACGCTCCGTGAAAAACTTCCGCAACGAACCACCCGTGTATTCGCCACCACCGTCAGAACGAATCTTCTTGGGATAATGCCCGAACTGATTTTTCACCAGACTGCAGAAATCCCGGATTTTCTCTTCTGCGTCCGACTTCCGACGCAACAAATGCACTACCGTGTAACGACTCTAATCGTCTACCAAAACGATGTAGAATCGATTACCACTTGATGTTTCTTCTTCCATTGGACCGCCCAAGTCAGTGTGCACTAGATCTCCTACCGCGCTAGATTTGCTGTCCGACACTTTTGGGAACGACTCTCGAATCATCTTCCCCTCACAACACGGACCACACACCGACTGAACTTCACAAGGATCCACTTTTAACCCGTACCCCAGGTTATCACGTATTATTTTGTCTACAGCTTGCACATCGCGATGTCCGAAATGACGATGGCACAAATGACGACACAGGTCTGCATGTTTCGGATCAACCAGAAATGCCTTCTCCGCAGCTTGCTTCAAGTGGTACAGCCCTCCTTTACGCTGCCCAACTAGCACTGTATCTTCTCCTTTCAGGATATGGCACTCCGTTTTCCCAAACAGCACCCGAAAACCCAAATCTGTGATTTTACTCACTGACAGCAGGTTACCAGCGAGCGATGGAACATGCAGGACGTTTTCGAGCCGAACGTTCATATTGATGCCATCTCCGTTGAAGGAGACTAGCTTACCGATACCACTTCCAGCTGACTTGATGGATTTTCCATCCGCCAGGCAGACCGCCGTTGCCTTAGATTTATCGACACTATCCAGCAACGACGCGTCACTCGTCATATGTGCTGTGGCACCTGAATCCAGGTACCAGAAACCAGTTCTATCGGCTTCGCATGCTGCCAAGCACGTTTCAAAAAAAGAACCGGATTTGATGGCCATACTCACCTTCTGACCATCCGTCTTCTCTTTTTCCCGCTTGTCCTGCGCTAATTTCCGGCAATCCCGCCGAAAATGTCCTTCCTTCTTGCAGTAATGACACAACACTTCTTTCTTCACGTAGTGCTTACTTGCATACTTCGGTTTAGCTGTGTTCATGACCAGTGCCTTTTCACACGTACTATCACTCTCACTTTCAGCACGACGTCGACCTTCGTCCAGCAGTTTACCTTTCACAAAGTCCACTGTGAGGTCTGCATCTGGTCGACTTTCAAGTGCCACGATCAAACCGTCGTACGATCTGGGAAGACTGGACAACATCAACGCAACGAACCAGTTGTCCTTGACTTCTTCCCCCAGTGCCACCAACCGAAGCCGGAGAGCCGCCATCTCCTTCAAATGTTCCGCCATATCACCGGTTTCCGTCATTTGGATGGTAATTAACTTACGCACTACGTGGATTATGCTGGACAGAGATGCGCGCTCGTGGTAGTCCTTCAACGTATCCCACATCTCCGCCGTTTGCTTCTGCATAACGTGGATCAGCTGCGTGTCTACCAATGCCAAGCCGATAACCGCTTGCGCCTTCTCATAGTTCGAGCTCCAGGTCGCATCAGCAGCCGCTGGCTTCGGATCGGTCACCACTCTCAGCAGCTTCTCCTTCGTTAGCAGCAAACTCATCTTGAATTTCCATACCGCGTAATTACCGTCGTTCAACTTCTCGATCGTCACTTTCATGTCCGCCATCTTGTTTTCCACAAGCAAAACCCGGTCACTTGCAAAGTTTCGATCCGATTCGTACGACTCACAACACCGGTGAAAAATTCCACTACCGTTCCGCGAACAACAAAACTCAAGCACTTCCAACGATAACTGGGCCCATAACCTCTTGGACTGAAGTTCCAGCGGAATGAAAGGCCGAGTTTTTTAATATTTGATGATATAAACTTTATTTACACGAGATGTACACACATCGAGTTTACTTTTGCGAATGGTATAAAATGGCGCACACAGCAGAAGGCTGATGCTGCGCTCTCGCTCTGCTACCGTCTCTTTCGCTATCACTGTCACTACAGGATAACTCTTTGCATCAAGGTGTGTAGTGAAAGGTGGCATGACCGTTGTTACACCAACAACTATCACGATTGTAGAATCAATAAACATACCGGGTTGAAATAAAAAAAAAATGTTTGTTAGCCCTCAGATTGTTGATTTTGACCCAATATTTTGTTGACCGTGCAATTCATTTCTCTGCGTGTTATGAATTTTAATCAGAAGAAATTTGCCTTATGAAAAATAATGTTGACAAAAAAATAATAAATTGGAGCAGACTGTAACCGAACCATAGACACTGGAACACTCGTCTGTCAACGTTTCGGAAAATAAAATAGCTAAATTCATATAAGAGCTACCTCAGGTTAGACGAAAGTCGTTCAGTAGTCGAGCCATATGAAATTCTTAAGTCTATTTGCTTCAGTGTAGGAACACGAAAATAATTGTTTAAACAAGTTTTGAGTTGCTCTCAACAAGTTTTGAGTAGCTTTGAAGCATCCCGCGTAATGTCTATAAAACACTTTAGTGTCCTTTCCTGACTCAAAGGTGTGAGTGTCTCCGAAAAAAAAAAGTGAAAAAAAAGAGTGAACTACCTATATTACTAATACAGTATATTTGTTATTACTGAGGATACAATTATTACGATGGCAACGACGCTTATATCCCACATGCGTGTGGTGTTTTACGGCGAATGGCGACGTTTGACAAATCCGGACGCATTAATTGAAAAACTTAAATCATGTCTTATTGTCCGAACTTGCAACAACCTATGCCGGTTGATTCACCGAAGTCGTTTGTATCATCAATCGTAAAAAAAAACTGAAAAAGCCTTCAAACGGCATTCCGGTAAGTAAAGGCAAGAATGCATCAGGGTTCAATCGAATAAGGGGTATCGCCAACCGATTATATGCGTAGATCTAAATCAAATTCAGTGCTCATTTGCACCTTAAGCAGACATTAAATGGGCTTGCTTAGTTGACTCCGACTTCCCTCACTCTTAACTTACAGAGCATACCATAAATTGCAAATGCCTTTGTGTCACCGGCTTATCGAATCACGCAAAGTTGGTTGTAGTTTATATGAGTTGGTTTTTCGCAATCCGTCAATATAACACCTCCCGACTCCAGCGCTCTGAAGCTCATACGTTGCCAGACTGCGAATCTGCACACAACAGCACACGGAACTGATTAGCAGCTTGCTGCCGGCGCGAAGAACCAGGTGAGTAAATGCCATTCCGAATTGCGTTAATTGCGACCGGGGTACGATCAATGCGGTTGAACGCGAGCGGTTGTGTGAACTTTGATAGTGTTGCTAATTGATTCAGACTTGCCCAATTCATAAATGAATGATTGGCGAACTTGCAGTAAGTGGCTGATTGTCTCATGGAAACACAACAACTACAACTACAACAGTGCTTGAGCGAAGATCCAGGAGAAATCCTCAATCCCTTCCGGAAGAAAATATGGCATCAATTGAGCAAATTCCCTCTGATCCAATAAGCATGAATTTCCATGCCGCCCCGAACTGCCAGAAGCCTCTTCCTATGCGAAGAACGGTTTGACTTTTATCTTTTCCGCTTCCGTCCGGAGTCAACTCATCCATCCACTTAAGGTTATTATTTATGATTTCGAATAAATAACCATACCGTAGTCGGCGCGCATAGGTCGCCCAAATCAAAGCGGCACACGACCTCAAAAAATACGACACATCGGCCGGGTCGCAGTCCAGATTTTTTCGTTCCACCCTCGGAGGGGTGCATTTACAATGAGCTACGCCACCACCATCAATCGCTGCCTCAAGAGGAAATCTGAATTGTAAGATTGCCGACGGATGGCCAGAAAGGAGCCAAAGAAGGAATTATTCACGGTTGGACGCAGTGCGTGGACCAAGAACCGAGAAGTGGATGCGAAAGATCAAATCAATTCAATTTGTTTCCTTTTTCTAACGTTTTTTTTTTGCTTCCTCGGAGGTTTCTCTCCAGAGGACCAATTGAGAGTGAGATGGTGATTTTCGTTTCGTTTCTTCGGTTGAACTGAAATCAGGGGGAAATTGATATTTGTCTAGCTCATAAATTGCTGTTTTGAATAATTTTACGATATTTTTATAGCTTATTAGGTCCAATTTGTTTCATCGGGAAGCTGAAATGGGCCATGATTGAGATGTGCGTTCGGGTGGGGGAAACTGGTCATTGTATCGAAATTGATGATTGTTTGTTCGGCAGTATTTTACTGAGTGCCTGAATCTCGGATTGCAAAGGATTTTTTTTTAAATCAAATTCGTTTATTTTGAAAACCCAATTGCGGTAGCTTTACGGAGCCAATTTTTAGTTGTTTGTAGTTTAATAAGAATAACGTAATACTACGTCTAGTAGAGGTGGACCGATTACTCGCGGTTTACTCGAGGTTAGAAAGGGTAACATTGCCACCAGGATTAGTGAATTTAACTAAGATGTTGAAGACAAGAAACTACTTTTAAACATATTATGTAACGTTCCAGATTTCTCGATGTCAAGATGAGGAACGATTCTGAGTCGTCTTTCAAACTAAAATTCTGGTCACTCCGGCATTCTGGATATAAGGGTGTTTTGACCAGGATGTCTGTCTCTACGTACTGTCAAGAGCACGAATAGAACAATCGCAATTTCACCACTTTAATTCTGTTTATTGCTTCCGAGAGGTATCCTGCCTGCTCGGAGGTAGAACGAACACTTATGGACTAATTACATACCAATTTTCTTCTCTTAACATTAAGCCACGGACACTTAATTTCCATAACAAAAATGGCTCTACAAAACAAACTATACTTAACGTAAACAATAACAACGCATGTCATATATACAGTCAGTAGTCCTTGTGGCCAGGGTTACGGGAGGGAGCCTTGAAAAAGGAACGGCGAATAAGGATACCCACTGGCGTATGGGATTTTCACTAATAGGGGCTGTGGTCGATTTTCTCATTTGATTCAATATACAAAAAACTAGCCATCACCTGGAGGTCATTGTAATAATTTCTGATCAACCTTCCAATAGAAGAGACTATCTGAGAGATGTGATATGAAATGTTGGGCAGATTAAGATCTTGCCTTGAACAAATATGCTGAGAACTTTTTGGAAATCTCTTATCACTTGGCAGTCTTTGAAATAATTTCTGAGCAATTTGGTATTTGAAAGGACAGCTGGGATATGTGATTTGAATTGATGTGCAGTTGTAAATCTTCACAATGATCAACCAGATGTCTTGATCAAATATTTTGATGAATTTTTTGAGATCTATGGCCACCTGGGGATCTTTGGAATAGTTTCTGAGCAACCTAGTATTTGAGAGAATAGTTGGGAAATGTGCATAATCTGCCATAGCTTAATTCTTGAACAAATAACCTGATGACTTCTGGGAGGTCTAGATATTTGTTCAAGACCTCAGGTTGCCACGTTGAAAGATCAAAGTTCTTCATCACATTGACTGGATATTACTTACCTCACCAATCAGGCTAATGCCTTGTTGTCCTCTGCTGTCCGAAGAAGTCGTTTTCACTCTACTCGATTCATGGCCACACTTCGGCAACCTAGGAGTCTGCGAAGGGTCCGCAGGTCACCTTCTACTTGGTCGATCCACCTTTTCGCCCAACTTTTGCAATGTGGACGATGGATGGTTCTTCCAGCAACTGGTGCAATTCGTCAAAGTTTCGTCATCCATCTGCACTTCACCGTAGATGGTACGCAACACCTTCCGTTTGAAAACAGGGCGCGTTGGTCCTTCACGAGCATAGTCCAGGTCTCGTGGCCGTAGAGGAACACCGGTCTAATGAGCGTCTTGTAGACAGTCAACTTCGTGCGGTGGCGAATTTTATTCGACCGGAGCGTCATCCGGAGTCCAAAGTAGGCACGATTCTCTGCCAAAATGCGTCTTTGAATTTCTCTGCTGGTATCATTTTCGGCGGTCACCAGTGAGCCCAAATACACGAACTCATCGACCACCTCAATTTCGTAACCGTCAATCTGAACTATGGGTGGGAGGCTAACATTGTCTTCTCTAGAACCTCTTCTTTTCATGTATTTTGTTTTTGATGCGTTGATGGCAAGTCCAATCCGCCTAGCTTCAACCTTCAGTCTGATGTTCGTTTCCGCCATCGTCTCAAAGTTCCGTTCCATGATGTCAATGTCATCGGTGAAGCCACGAAGCTAGATGGACTTCCTGAAGATCGGGCCACTCGTGTCTATCTCAGCTCTTCTGATCACACCTTCTAACGCGATGTTGAACAGCAGACACGAAAGTCCATCACCTTGCCGTAACCCCCTTCGAGATTCAAAAGGACTCGCGAATGTCCCCGAAATTCGAACAACGCACATCACTCGATCCATCGTCGCCTTGACCAATTTATTAAATATTTACTCATAATGACAAGTCCGTCATCTTGGATTCCAAAACAGCGGTGACCAACGAGTTTCGACATCTACACGTCGTCCTCGTTCCAAAATTACCCTTCTTCTTCTTCTTCGCATTTCAAGCTTATTGCATATCGCATATTAGCTTATTGCGTGCTCTCAACTTAGTGTTCTAGATGCACTTCCACAGTTATTAATTGAGAGCTTTCGAAGCCTGTACCATTTTTGCATTGGTATAATTGTGTGGCAAGTCCAATCATACTTCTATGCCCAGGGAAGTCGAGAAATTTTCCAACCCGAAAAATTCCTAGACCGGACCGAGAATTGAACCCAGCCACCTCCCGCATGGTCTTGCTTTGTAGCTGCGCCTTTACCGACTGAGCTAAGGGAGTTGTTGGGTATTTTACAGTTTTTCTAAAGCTGACTGCCGCCATCTTGGATTTCAAAATGGCATCCAACATCGATGTTTGACCTCTACAATTCGTCTGCGTTCCGGAAATACCCATATTGTAGGGTATTTGACAGTTTTTTAGAATGCCCACCGCCATTTTTTAATTGAAAATGGCGGTGGGCATCGAATTTTGACAGGTACACGTCATCCTTTTTCCGGAGGTATCCATATTGTATGGTATTTGAAAGAATTTTTAAAAACCAACAGTTACCAGATTTGATTCAAACATGACGTCCAACATCGATTTTAGACCTCTACCTGTTCGGAAAATACCCATATTATAGGGTATTGGACAGTATCTCTAAAACATATGACCACTATCTTGGATTCCAAAATGACAGCGGACATCGATTTATGACGACGTGTAGCTCGTTACAAAAATACCCATATTGTTGGCAGACTTTTTAAAACCGTTGGACGCCATGTTGGATTCCAAAATGGTGTCCATCATCGACTTTCGACCTCTACACGTCGTCCCGGCTTCGGAAATACCCATATTGTAGCGTATATGAAAGTTTTTTATTATTCAAAAACCAATGGCCTCCATATTGGATTCCAAGATGGCAGAGGACATCCACTGTTCTACATGTCATCCTCATTCCGAAAATACCCATATTATAGGGTATTTGACAGTGTTTTTAGAACCGATGGCCGCTATATTGGGTTTCAAAATGGCCTCCATAATCAATTTACGACCTCTTCAGGACGTCCTCGATCCAGAAACCCCCATATTGAAGGGTATTGACATTTTTTTTTTAAAGAAAACTGATGTCCGCCATCTTGCATTTAAAAATTCCGGTGGACATCAAATTTTGACATCTACACATCGTTCTCGTTTCGAAAATACCCATATTATAGGGTATTTGACAGTATTTCTAGAACAGATGGCCGCCATCTTGGATTCCAAAATGGCAGTGGACATCGAATTTTGACATCTGCAAGTCGTTTTCGCTCCATAAATACCCATATTGTTGGGTATTTGATAGAATTTTAAAACCGATCTTGAATTAGAAAATGGTATCCAACATCAACTTTCGACCTCTACACGTCGTCCTCGTTTTGGAAGTATCCATATTGAAGGGTATTTTTTTTTTTATAGAAAACCGATGTCCGCCATCTTGGGTTTCAAAATGCCATCGAATTTTGACATCTACACATCGTTCTCGTTTCGAAAATACTCATATTGTAGGGTATTTGACAGTATTTCTAAAATAGATGGCCGCCAGCTTGGATTTCAAAATGGCATTGGACATCAAATTTTGACATAGGCAAGTTGTTTTTGCTCCATAAATACCCATATTGTTGGGTATTTGACAGAATTTTAAAACCGATGGTCCCCATTTGAATTCCAAAATGGTGTCCAACATCAACTTTCGACTTCTACACGTCGTCCCTGTTTTGGAAGTACCCATATTGTAGCGTATTTGAAAGTTTTTTAAAAAATCTTGGATTCCAAGATGGCGGCAGACATCCATTGTTGATATCAACATGTAGTTATCATTCGGAAAATAGCCATATTGAAGTTTATTTGACATAATTTTTAAAACCGAATGGATTGGATTCCAAAATGGTGTCGATCATCGACTTTCGACCTCTACACGTCGTCCCCATTTCGGAAATACCCATATTGTGGCGTAGTTGACAGTCGACGCTTCGCCACGGGTTTCCCAATTAGGAAAATTTGCTCCAGTGTCGCACCCTTCTCACGATATAGCTGAAATAATACTTCTACATCTGTGAGCCAAGCTATTTATTCTTAGGCTCTGTCTTCAAATACTTGAATATCTCTTAAGAAATCGGGAACCTTTCCCAACTCTTGCAACTGCTGATTGGTTAGTACATTTCGCAATGGTTATGATTGTGGTGAATCCAAAATGGCCGCAATTTAACAAATATGCTAAGTTTCATGCAAATCGGAGAAGGTGGAGTTTGTCCTATTCGTCATTTGATGCCTCTTCTATTCCCTCAAGATGATAAACCGCATTCTACCGTTATTCTCCCTGGTAACGGTGATCTCCGCTGCGTGCCCTCCGAACGCCGATGCAAACGTTCGTCGGATCCTTATCGATCAGGACGCTGGTGGAGATGACGCCTGGGCCTTACTGATGCTACTCATGAACGAAGGGGAGTACAACGTTTGCGTGCAAGCCATCACCTGCACGCATGGCAACACGGATATCGACAATGTAGCTATGAATGTTGCCCGCACGCTGGCAGCACTGGATCGAAGCGACGTACCCATGTACAGGGGAGCGAGCGAACGGTTGATAACTCCAGCCCCTGATCGGGATGGTTCCGGGTACTTTTGGGGAATGAACGGTTTCGGAGATGTCCGGTTCAACAGCACTCCCAGTTTGGCAGCGATTCCCGAGGATCACGCCGTGATGCAGATGCATGAACTGCTACAGAAGGTGAGTTTTAAAATGAAATTGTTACATGGAAAAGATGACTGATAGTACTTTGATGATTTCAGTATCCGCAACAAATCACGATACTTTGTACGGGTCCGCTGACGAATTTGGCCTTACTGTTCAAATTGTTTCCGGAAGTGAAAGGTAACATTGCGGATATTTTCATCCTGGGCGGTAATCGGTACGGAGTCGGTAATACGGATTTCACGGCGGAGTTTAACTTTTATGACGATCCCGAAGCTGCCAATATCGTAGTGAATAACGCCCCGGTGGTGTTGAACATCTTTCCGTGGGAAACGATTCTTGATTTGGAGCGCGTGTTTCCGACCCAGTGGCGGATGGAATCGTTTCGGGAGCCTAGGAACGAAGCGATCGCGATGCTGAATGCAGTGGAGGCGGTGGTTTATGCCAATATCACCGGCTGGACTCCGTGTGACATGTACCTGGCGGCTGTTGTGTTGGATCACGGCTTGATAAGGAAGTCAGTTCAATACAGGGCGGATGTGGAACTGAACGGGAAGATCACCCGTGGTATGCTGGGAATTTTGTATCACGAGCATGATGAAGATCAGTTCAATGTGAATATCATCGACGGAGTTGACGAAGACACGTTAAAGCAGATGGTGGTGGATTTGAACAGAGGAGCCGACGAGAATGGTGTAGACGTCCGGCCGTACCGGGACAGGTTGATGGCTGGTTTGAAATTCAAAGGGATTTGATGATGATCTCATGGTTTGATATTAATCATGTCCTCATTATTGCGTGATTAACTTCCTGCATCCTTTTGAACTGAACCGAATGGAATACTTTCCATCGTTCTCGAATTTTCAAGCCGGCAATCACAAAGCGGAGGAAGTAATTGATATTACGGAATAAATATTGAATGCATTATTTATCTATTATATATGGTAATTTAGCATGCATAATTTATCTGTTGAAAAATGTTCGAGTTTTTTTCTTGGCAGCAATGCTCTTTCATCTCCACGCCAATTTCTAACAGTAAAAAGAAAAAGCAATAGGGAAACGGAAAAAAGCGATTTCGCTTAAGTGATTTTCCCGCATCCGAAACCGTCCTTCTCCGCACCACTCTTCTCCACCGGAATTAACGAAGAAAAGTGAACAGTCTATTTATGATATACACATCACTTGCTCTCCAACCGACGACGACCTATTGGCGATGCGATAAGGAACGAGGAGTGGAAAAAAAATATGAAAGGAGAAAATCCTTATCGTGTGACGACGACGATGACGCCGACGACGACGACGGTGAAAAAACGCGAAATTATTGCTTAATAGAAAGAAAATGATTAAAGCGATATTGACGACGATGAGGCTGCTGCTAACGACTGCGATGACGACGCCGCGGTTGTGCCGCCGATATGCGAGGCGATGGAGGGTAAAAGCCTCGTTCTTCACGCATCGTTTTTCGCATAAATTGCACATTAATTTTATGGCTTGCCATCAATATGGTGGAAATTAAGTAAGAGCGGAAGTAATGGCTCTTTTCCGAATTTCCGCCGTTCGAGCGTTTGGGGGGAATGTGTTTAAGAGAAAAGCGGAATGCCAATCGCAGTTGTTGTGGTTGGAAATTCACTACGACTTGAAAGGCTCAACTTTCGATTGACTATCGCATGGAAATGACCATCAACCGTCACACGTGGCCATTCTTTCGATCCCTGCGGCTGACAAGGGTGCTCTTGACTAGGTTTGATAGCCTTCAAGAAGGTAGCCCCAAAATTCAATACAAACTGTCCTTTTGTCAGTTTGCTAACAATGAATGGAAAGAAAGTATTTGTATTTGATGAGAGGATCAACATCCGAAGAAAGGTTGTATCCAATTCTGGCATCCTTCTTCGCAATTGTAGGAATGCTCCGTCTTCTGATAGGGGAAATTTACATAAGAGCGTGTTCGAAGAAGTAGATGCGTTGAAATTCGGTATGAATAAATCTGATTCGGTTGAATGCTGCTGCCTCAAGTGAGCCGGGAGTAATCTGGTTTGAATGGAATTCGGTCCGACATAAGGGGAAGGGATGGGACCCATCGATCCTTGACCACATTCTTCTCCACATTGTTTCAGATTGGATACCTATAGAAGACGTTGTGGCAGGGTGAATTTAGGATGCCCCACTTGAAATGTTGATGCTTTTCGAAAGTTGTTTCCTTGGGATTGATTTGGAAGCGTAATCGAGAGATGTGAAATTTTTTAGCTGGATTTTAGAGCTAGAGTCAGAATTGCATTTGTTTTAGCAGGAAATATTTTTTTAGTAGTTTAATAATTTTGGGAAGCTGTTTATAAGGGGGAAAAATACCCTCAAGTCTGTTTTTTTAAACAGGGGATACGTACCGTGTAAAAAAAACCCCGTTGTTTCAAAAAACCGTGTAAAAAAAAACGTGTGTGTCACAAAACCGTGTGATAAACCCGTGTTATTTCAAAATTAATCATAACAAAAAACTGAGCAGTGTGCATGGGATTTTATTCGGTACTTGTAAGCCATGATCACCTATAACATATTCGTTCATGATAAAGTTCCTCTGGAGGTACAGACCTTCCGAATGCTCTGTTAACATCATTTCGGAATTTTCTCTCATCTGTAAATCCTAACCATCTTGAAAAAAGCTGGCTTGGGGCTGTTCATATACTATGTAGATATTTTTTTTGGATTCTTGACCCCCCCCCCCCTGCGTAGACAATTGTCCATACAAATTTTCCTAAAATTTGTATGGGCCGTGGATAATTGTCAACCCCCTAATCTTTTCTAAGTAGTTTATGAACAGCCCCCTTCAACAAAGCTGTTCCCGTAGCTGAGTAATGAACAGTAAAACGTTGTAGGTACAAACATATGTAGGGTATACGTCCCTAACCTCGGTCTAATATGCAGCCATCGATTACGTTTTTAATCATAACTCATCAATGAATTTACCTGCAAACGATATTCTACTGCTAAATGGTATGCTTAGATATGCTTATCATGTCGTTTGCTATCAGAAACCACGAAAAGTTGAAAAACTTACTTTTTTTAAGACAATAACTCACGAGGGAAATGTATGTAATATGGGTCTATTGTCCCCAAATTGGGTCTATTTATGGATGCAACTTCGTCCTATCTTGTTTGATCCTCAAAAAAACGCTCTTGGTAACGTTTTCTGATGTATTTTTTTTTATCACTATCACTGTTAACTTAATGCTCTTCATTCCTCAAAACATTTCTTAGAGAAAATTTTACGAAAACTACATTAAATCACTCAATTTAAAAATTAAAAATTAAAAATTTCGCTTATCGTCTTTTGACCGCAGAATATCTAAATCAGAACATTGTGATGTTCATTATACAGGTTTGGCAGAAAAAATCTCCCTTCCTGTTCGTTCCTTATCATCCAAATGCAAAACAACATTGTTGACGTTACTCTTATTGCTATATGCTGTCAAATGAATTTCATGGGCCATAGTTAGGAACATAGAAAAGAAATGTGTCCCTAAAGTTGGGTCCATGTTTTACTTGTGAAAACGTTGTTAAACAATTAAAATAAACATAAAATATTCAAACAGCAACTGTAAGTTTTACGTCTAGTGTGTATTATCAGGTAATTCCAATCAATAAATGCCATAATCAGGCCATTTGATGATCGTCAGTCAACCTTCCCATCTTAACCTTATAAGTCATGGCGGCTAAAAACTCCGAACATTGTGATATTCTCAACCAGTTTTATTACTTACGAGAGCTGAAAATGTATTGAAATGTTGTGATATAAATTGATTTGTGTGTGGTACACATTTATCAACCATCAGTGATCAATATTTTCCTTATTTTTTGTGTAATATTCCTTAATTAATTATTTATTTGCGTGATAGGCCGAATGAAAGGACTAGACCCACATTACATACCGTAACCCTATATAAATTCCATATCTACGTAGTGCAAATGTGCATACCGTGGTGCATCCTTATTTCAATCAGTGCCTAACTCCATCCAAGCAAATTAAACATTGAATATCAAACCGATTTGTCACGTAACACCAGTAATTTAGTTTTACATATGGAGCAGTTCAAGGCAAAAACGGAAAAAAAAAACATTTAAATTTTAAAATCGACCCTCTCCGATTTGCATGAAACTTTGCGTAATTGTTTGTTATGGGCAATGATTCTCATTGGCACAATGCCATTTTGCTAAAATTTGGCAAAATACCGTCCTTGAAATTTTTCAAATAATTGTGGATAGGGACCGGTATTTCTGATTGAAATGACGTCTGAGAATAAAAAAAAAGTCTTTCTAAAAAACAACGTGTTTTTTTAGTTATATTATGTAAAAATTATTAAAAAAAAGTGTTAAAAACCCGAATATTTAAAAATGTTTGTGGCCACTTTTTGAAAAAAAAGCAGAAAAAAGAAAAATGCAAGCTTTTGGAATGTTTGTTGACCCACAAGATCGACGGAAAAAAACAAACCAAAGGAAAAAAAAAAATCTAATGTGGGTGGCCCTTGAGAGTGAGTTCCCTCTCGCAATCATCAGTGAAGCTGATGATTGTTGTAGAGTGGGTTTGATAAGAATAAAAGTGATTGAAATTAAAGAAATATTTTACAAAAGCTTAAAAAAAAAGCGTCTATAATAACCTTTTTAACACTCTGAACATGATGCCTCTGGTCCACTGTGTAACGGCAAACTTGTAATGTTTGAAAAATCATAGCTCAGCTATTTATTGACGAATTTCAAATCTATGGGCGTCACTTCAAACTAAAGATTTTAAAAATTTATTCGGTATGAATAGGTTTAAAATCTATTGATAAATTGCTGAGAAATGATTTTGCAAACATTCCCAATTTTTCGTTACTCATTTCACCGGTTGTATCGTGTTCGGAGCGTTAAGAAGCATCCTAGGGAATATTTTTTAGAAGCTCCTTTTAGATGCTTATTCTAGATGCTCGCCCATGGCTCCACTCTTCTGACGAAAAAAAACGGGCAGAACAGTAAACCAGACTAGCTACGCAGTAAGGGGGAAATTTTCCAAGGTTAATAGATCAAATAAAAAAGTAGAAGGGTCTGTGCCTAGGGGCACGAACGGAAGCTTGACGTAGGACCGCTAGTGGACAGAACAAATGTGAAGAGTATTTCGTTCTTTTAATTGATCAATTATCTATTATCTCAACTCTTTCCGTTTTTGAATTGCAGGCGTACCAAATTTGTAGTAATCTTTTTCAAATAGAAATTTAAGATTAAGAGAATCAATCAAAATCACTTGCACTGCACCCCTGATTCCAAATTTGGTTACAAGATTACAACTCTGGAGAGCATTTTGAGTAGTCGTTGGGGGTTGTGATTCTGGACAAACAAGCTCAGATAAATTCTATTCCAACTCTTTACTGATGTAAGCTTGATGGCCCTGAAAAGGGCAGTTTTATTGAAAAGGACATCCATGGCCACTTACGCGTGTTTAGTGTAGGTGACAGCATCACGGACCTCATTTTCCAGGAAAACCTTCAGTACACCTCGTAGATCAGATCGGAGATACGTTTGACACCACCACGGCGAGCCAGACGACCGATGGCGGTTATCTCGAAGAACTTTGCGATGACGCTTGGCGCATTGCTGTTCACCACGCCATCCGAAGCGAAAATGAGCTAATTTCACACAGCAGCGCTCTTTTATATCTTTTCAGGTTAAAGCAGAATGATGTGCAACCAAGTGGTATAAAAGCTACAAAGACTCCTCCCATTATGAGTAG